CGTATCTGAACCACCACCAAGTCCACTTGCTGGAGCCACAGGTGACCTTGAAACATGCTCAGCTGACAGCGTGCTGTGCAAGTGCTCCCACTCCAAAATTAGGGCTGTCGCAGCACATTTGGCCATCTCAGTGTCTCCTCAGTAATGCCTGTAGTAGCTCCATCAAAGCCTGCACAGTAACCAGAAATGCCAAGGGTAAGGGAACACTGCTGCCTGACCAGCTGTGAATTTTACTGCCTGCTTCCTCAGCTACCCCGAGGAGCCCAGGTTTTAAGCAGCGACACAGAAATTGCAGCGACACTCAGTTATCTGGGTTGCATATTGGGTGCAAACCCTCCCAGGAATGTCACACAGCATAGGCCTGGGGAACAGAACTGCAAGGGGAGGACTTGTAACAGAAGAAGAAAGTCCTACACCCGTGTGCTGGCTGTCGGGGTTTTTTTAAGCACTGGTCAGTCTCCATCTTGCAGTCGAGACTGGATTCCTCTGCAGAGCAGAGAGCAGAGTCCCTCCAGGGTCTGAGTTTATGGCTCTCAAGATGGTTCTTGTGTCCAGGCTACAGGCCAACAGCAAGTCACACCTGACCCTGGGTCTCCCAGCCCCCTTTTCAGAAGCCTTTGTCCCCCAGAAAAATGCAGCTCCCAGGAGCCAGACTCTTGCTATCGGCTGTATTTTGGTATTTGCACAGCACAGAGCAGTGGTGCTCGACAGCCACACGAGAGCTGTAAAGCAGCGGGAGACGCTGCCTCTTGTTAAGAACCACAGGGGGAAAGAGCAGGCTGAGCTAAACCGAGTTCCCCCTTAAAACAAGCAAGCCTTAGAAAGCCTCCCCCTCACCTCCTGGGGCCAGGGAGAGCTTTCCTTTGCCCCAGGGGAGGAGAACACGAGGCAGAGGAGTTGCACAACTTTGTTTGGAGCCAAGGAAAAAGGTCAGACTGTAGGATGTGTGTACAGGTCACAGGAAAATGAGATTCCCAGCCAGTAACGCAGTGCTAGGGAGGAAAATTTGCCCTCCCCGTACTCTGACATTTGGGAGTTGGGTGTTGGTTGCCTGTACTTTCAGGTTTTGTAAAGAGCAGCTCAGCAAAGTACGTTGACAGTCTCTTACCCGAGCTGCCCATTTCTGAAGCAACTCACAAGGAAGAACCATCCCCACAACCAACAGTGCCTTGTCCGACCTCAGTATTTTCAGTTGTAACAAGACAGATGAGTGACCAAGAGTTTCCGTGAGCAGAGCAGGTGGGAGGTAAGTCAGCGACCAAAGCTGAGCCCCCTGTGAATCCTGTCCAGTCTACTGTGGAAAAAGCGAGTCTGTCTGGCAGCTCTGAGCTCCAGTGCTGGTTCCCAGAGCAGGAAATACTTGCTCCCTGGAGGAATGGCCAGGCACACTGAGAAGCAACAAACAAACAAACAAACAAAACAACAACAAAGCACTTCTCTGAGGTCTGATAATCTTTTTGAACTGGAGCCATCCAGCCAATCCACAAGACTGTTCCTTGTTAAATGTAAAATTTTGTTATCGGTCCGTTCCCAGAATTTTATTTTCCCTACTGAATGTGAGACTTGAGTCAAATTTAAAAAAATAAAGCAGCCCTGTCTGTGAAAGTCCATCCAACCTTGGCAATAACAGGACTACAGACATGCCTGAAGTGCTGCACACCCAGGAGACACCAAATCCGGGCTCCTACTATGCAATGGAAACTACCAACGCTGTTGTCGGAAGCGGTAACGTTTTTCTCTCCACTCTTGAGGTTATTACCTAGATGCTGCTTTAATTCCTGTGTGAAAATGTGCTAAATGAGCATTTCCAAAGCGTCACCCCCTTGCTGCTCTTCGATATTGCGCTGACACCTGATATTAATGGTTTTCATTTGAACTTGGAGGCACGTATGTGAAAGCGTTGGTCGTTACAGCAGATTAGGAGAGACTGGCCACGTATGATCAAATAAATACAGAACCAGGACTCATTTCTGTATTCAGGTGCAACAAAGACTATTAATGCTCATGGCAGATGCTTGATATTTTATTTGAATAATTGACATTATTTAAAATAAAAATTCAATTTACTACATAACTCTCGTAGAAGTTGTTTAAAACAAATGGGATCAAAACGCCCATCTCTCGACTGCGAGAGATTAACTGGGGCTGGGAATGGGTACGAGTTTCCCTTCTCAGCTGGCCTGTTGCTGTAGCTGGTGTTTCAGGAGCTGTCCTCCAGCCACACACAGCCAACCTCAACAGCCCGTGGCAGCGGCAGGATGACCCTTGCACCAGTTTTTGCTGCACCGGCAGGAGAAGCCACGGGTCTCCCCAGCACGGAGAACTGCCCAGGCACAGGCTTTGGGATCAGCCACCCGCGCTGCCCAGGGGTGCTCTGGCACTGCCAAACCGCTGCAGGAGCCACCAGGCCAGCCAGAGAGAACCTCGGGGCACTGCAGCTCCCACTGCCCGACAGACTGCAGGGCCCCAGGAGGAAGTCACCCTCCAAACAAGGCTGTGGCCACAGCCGCACCTCCCATCCCACCAGGTCTCCAGCTGTCTGCGGGCAGAGAGGGAGAACTCGGCTGCTGTGTGTGTGACTGATGGCTCTTGGGTGTCAAAGCCCTTACCAGGCTGCTGCTGTCCAGAACAGTCAGCTCAGGGGGTCTCTGCCTCAGAGCACAACCGCCAGTTTTGTCTCTGCCTCTCCACCAAGGGTACCTGTCAGCAGCTAGTGCAGGGCAGCAGATCGGCCTCTGACAGAGGGAAAGCAGTGCCAAGTGCCAGATACATACATCAATCTGACCTGAGAACCGAAGGAAAAGCTCCAAGGTCTCAAGTGTGACCAGGGGGGACAGCCATGTTCTCACCAGCCAGCAGCAGGGCAGAGCCCAGCCTCGCACCAGCCGGCAGCAGGGCAGAGCCCAGCCTCGCACCAGCCGGCAGCAGGGCAGAGCCCAGCCTCACCCCAGCCAGCAGCAGGGCAGAGCCCAGCCTCGCACCAGCCGGCAGCAGGGCAGAGCCCAGCCTCACCCCAGCCAGCAGCAGGACCTGCCCACATCCAGGCAGAGTTTTGCTTGTCACTTGACAGGAGAGTACGACAGTGCTAGAATAACAAACGATGCCCAGCACCCAAAACAATATTCAAATGTCATCACATTGTGTCCCTTGTTACATGTTTCTTCAGAAGTACCTCTCCTCTAAGCCAGCGGGTTAATTCCCTCACTCCATGGCTTTCCTTCTGTGAGAAGCTGCCTCAGAAACACACTCCCAGCTCTCAGCCACCCAGTGATGTGAATCCAGGAACTTCACTGCCGAAGCAAAAGCAACATCACCAGGGGACAGAGGAGTACGTGTCTTTGGAAGGAGGACACCAGGTTCGCAGGTATCACTTCCCATCTTCACCTCTCACCTCCACAACAGTCTCCAGCAGCAGAGGGGTAACTGTAGTGGGGTTAAGAGCCAGCCCCTCTGCAGGGACTGTGAAAAAACTGAGCACACATTAACACGGCCAAAGGGATTATTTTATTCAGAGGTTTGGTCTAAATAGTTGTTTCTTCACTGGCAAGACTTCCTTGCTCCTTCAAAACTGTCTAGTACCAGACAGGGACTTGTTTGGATATGAATTAATTCACCAGCAAACGCTCTCAGCAGTGACAGCATCACAGTTTGAGTTCTGTGTTCCAGCGTTTCTGACTAATCAGGAACCCCTTGTTTCAAACTGTCACATTTCTCACCTGGGAAGGAAAGCTGGGCAGCTGCTTCACCTGCACCCACAGAAGCAGCAGCTGAATGTCCTTCTTGGACAAGTTTTAATTTCAGCCTCACCACCAGAAGCTGGTGAAACTCAATGCTACACAGGTACAGTTGGACTTGATGATCTCAAAGGTCTTTTCCAACCAAACAATTCTATGATTCTAAGATATGATCCAAGGCAATCTGCCCTGGCCCTACTCATCATCCATCTCCACATCTCCCAGATACTTGCCAGCTACATCTCTCCTCACCATCATTTTGTTTTTAGTAAAGCTGTGTAATTAACATAGTTCAGCACCGCACAGAGAATTCCAGGAATTAACACACTGGACCCGAATTAGACGTTTTGGTCATGTAAAATTAACAACGAAATGGAGACAAATGTCATCCCCTTCGGGGTCCTGATGAGAGAAAACCTCCTGAAAACCCAAACTGAGGCAATGAGCTGAGCCATTTTCCCCTCTCGAAGCTCCCAGCTCCATGCTCTTAACATGATTTTGGATCCCTAGGCTTGGTTGTTGCAACAGAACAGAAAAAAGCCACAGAAAAAAGCAGCAGGTTCCACCACTGCAGCTGCCTGCCCGGAGACCTCTGTCCCTTCTGCCCAACACGGAGCATCCACACCTGCCTACAGGAGAAGGAAGCACCTGGGCGGGCAGGATCCAGCACGTCCTTCATCTGCTGAAGCCGGAGCATGAGAGATGGGAACCATGACACTGGGAGTTATATTTGAGGGTTTTATTAGTTGTTCTTCTGCAGAATCAAAATATTTAGCAAATTACTTCAAAGATTCCTCAAGTCCGCCGATATTTCATGTACTTAGAACTTGAACAATGTACAATTTAATACTTCAAGCTATCGAAACCAACCCAAAACCTGATTTGTAGTACTAGATGTTATTACATAATCCTATAGCAGTGTGAAAAATTGAACTAATGCAGTGAGCGTATTTGTTTTAAAGAAAGTGCTTGAAAGAAACCTCCTGCATCATACTGAGCATTATTTAAAATAAAAAGATAACTGATTTCCTAGCAGGGCATTGTCTTAAATATCCTACAAGCCTGGGGGATTACGAATACTGAGCCCCAGCTCTCTGCCTTCAGGTTTAAGAACCAATACAAGCTGCAGGTCCAGACAGAGTTCACAGCTTACCTGTTTCAAGAGAACTTACACACCACTCTGCATTGGACGCTCGTGTCTGGCACAAGTGTTGGATGCATGGGTTAAAAAAATCCCCAAAAAAACAAACCAAACAAACCACAAGAGGAACAGCTTCTCTGTTTATGCATAGCGACAGTTTCTGAACCAGTGTTTTACTAAGTTACAGACTAACTTTCAACCAAAAAATAAAACTCCATTGCACTAAAGGTCAAATTTAACCAGTTAATCTGGACTGTGACACAGTCAAGTAATTCAGTACGAGCAGACACCATGAAAGCAGCTTCAAAGAACCAAAGCATCCTAGTTTCAGAACCAACTTAATATTCTTCTGTCCAACTCCAGTGCAACAGTAAGGGGGAGGGAACCACTCCTGTCTCTCCTTATGTACAATTCCAGTAGAGGTTGGGCAGTCTAATATTCTCCGTGGCCAAGCTGGAAAAAGGAAATTTAGGAAAGGGCACTTTAAAAATTTAATTTAAGAAAGAAAGTTGGCTCTCAGTGGAAAGAGAAATGCTGGAGTGATGCAGGCGGGCAGGCTAGCTCAGTCACTCTCCCATGTATGCCAAAAGCTGGACTCCTTCCTGCAGAGAGCAAGTCACACTGGACGCGAAGGTGGCGGGGCTGGTCCTGCTCCGTTGCACGCTGAGAATCCAGGAATGTGTTTTCAGCTGGCTCCTGCACGGGCCATTAGATCTTCCAAAGCATTGTGTTGGTCGTTGTTATGTAATAATAAGACCTCCTTAATGTCTTTCAGTTCAAAGCCCATTTCTTTAAATTGACTCATTAGCTGGAGAAGTTCTGTGATCTGGAAGACACAGACAGTCCATTATTTGCAAAGAAAAGAGGATCAGTGCCTGGAGATTCCTCTGCCCCAAGTACAGCCTGTTCCAGCTCCCTTTGGAGAAAGTCCACTCACACCAGAGCCAGCAGAGCCCTGGGTGTAGCAGCCCACGGGGCCTCACCTTCAGTGCTGTGTTTGCAGTCCAAAATCCTCTACAGCAAGGGCACTGAAACTCAGTCTGTGGGGCTGACTCTCTACCAGTAGGAAATCTGTCAGCCTGGCTCAATGTGGGCTCCCAAAAATGCTGATTAGCAGCACGCTGCTCCCCCACCCAGCATCTCCTGCTGCATCTGAGTTTTTCTAAAGTTATTTCAACTTTGGGAGCAGCAGAGTAGCCCTTGCAATCCTTTGGCTCTTCGGATCTAGGGCAAACTTGGGGGGTTACCACAAACTCTATTGGACACACTGTGTACGATACTACCAACACCAACCACAAATCCTCCCCGAGCTTTCACAGAATCACAGAGTGTCAGGGATTGGAAGGGACCTCAAAAGATCATCTAGGCCAACCCCTCAAAAGATCATCTAGTCCAACCCCGCTGCCAGAGCAGGATCACCTACAGTAGGCCACACAGAAACAAATCCAGGTGGGTTTTCAGTGTCTCCAGAGAAGGAGATGCAAAAAAAATCTCAAAGGAGACTTATTTGAAAAAATGAAGTGACAAGAAGTGAATCAGTTGATCAGGCTTTTATGAACCCTCTGCCATTTACAAGTGCCTCCACTCCAGAGGGAACAAAAACCCAAAAACATGCAAGCAGGTTGAAAGCAGGGCGATCAGAAGATCAGCCATTTCCAATGTTGGGGGTTAGGCCAGCAGCAAAGGCGTTTCCTGAACTCGGTCACTTCTCCCATATTCACACTGTTGTTCCTCTGTTTGCAAGCTCAAGAGAGGCAGGAAGGCACATGCACGTCTCGGGGGGCTGGGCTGCACCTCTGAAGATTTCATATAATAACTTGTGACACAACAGGCTGGCAGACATCAAAAGATCCTGCTGTCCTCTGCCCTGGCTGCCTGCTCCTGCCTCTGTGCCTTTGGTGATGGTAAAGCAGCCAATGAACCAGACCCCAGAAACTGTATTTTCCAGCTTCTTCCAGAGTGAGCCCTATCTCAATTTGCTGAGCAGCCAGGCAGATGTATTTGTACCAGGGAGAAAATTCACAGCCAGGGCAGGCTGGCAAGGTTTGAAAGTTAATTTTCTGCTTCTGAAATTAACTGTCTTTGTACCAAGCACCTCACCACAAGAGAGCTCTGGATTCAAAACATTACAACCAGAATGAGCCGGGTCCTATTCTAAGAAATCCTATCCCCATAAAAACACATGCAAGAGAGAGTAATAAAACAATGCAAAGGAATTCTAACACTTCAACACATATTCGCTTCACCACTGCAGGGATGTCCTTTGGCAGTCAGTTTTTGGCAACAAGGCAGCATTGCCATGAAAGCCAGAATTACATCAGCCAGAGGAACTGCTGCTGGAATTCCCCAAAAATGGCACATGCTCTCTATTGCCCAGCACGTTGTGCCCTCACCTTCTCCTCTGAACACTGGTGCATTTCCAACGCTGCTTCAACAAGAAGTGGATCAAAGCCCTTCTCACAAAGCTGTCCGTGTGCAAACAGGTAATCCAAAACCTGTGGGGAACAAAGAAAAGAAACCAGGTTTGAGCCAGAGCAGCATTGGCAGCACGTGGTCGAATAACCATCTCTGCACACACAGAGGGGCTGAGCCTGACTCTGCCCCGGCTTCACCAGGGAGGGAGATGCAGCCCTTCCTGGTACAGCTGAAACATTCTTTATGCAAGAGCTCGTTCAGAGAAAACAGACAAACCCTTCTGTCCTCCTGTGCTCTCCCACCAGCTCCAAACATCACTTTCCACTCTAGTCAAAGCAGTCTCGGGAGCCTGTCTTCAGCCTGATCACTGAGCAGAAGGCAGAAGTTTAACTGTGCTTTTTATACTACAAGTTTTAAAAATTAAACTGGAGGTCCAGCAGTCGAGATGTGTCAGCTCTGAGCTTCCCCTCAGACAGCTGCAAGAGCTGATGCAACCTGAAAGCAGTCAGCCTTTTAAGATCAACTCAGCACACTGGTGAGTGAGCTGCAAATACCAGCTCACGGGCCCAGGAACCGCTGCCAAACTTCTTACCCGTGCTCAGCTTTGAGAGGTTCAGGGAGAGGCCAGATAGGTAATGCTACGAAGGCAGAAGAACACAGCCTGCAAAACCAGCAGGATTTAAAAGCACACTCCTAAGGGAGGTTTTTTCCACTTGGTGCTGCAGTTCGCTCCAGCACACAGCTGAAACCACTCCCCAAGTGTAAGCAGCGGACAGGCAGATCAGCTCCACAAGCAGAAGTCACGGGGACACTCCTCCTCCTGCCCAGGCGGCGGGCGCAGTCCCAGCGGGCAATGCTCTGTGGGGCACGCAGCCCGCCCAGGGCCAGCGCAGAACATCTGGCCGCTCCTCCCCGATTTAAAGCGTTTGTCTGAAGCTGATCCAAGACCCGTAGCCACGCTCTGCCCTGTGGTGCTTTATGCTCTGTGACCTGGTTTTAACGAGCATTCAAGGCAGCACAAGGGGCAGGAAGCACGACAAGCAAAGTGCACAGAAGAAGGTCGGTCAGCGGTGCCTTGAGAGAGCCTTTCAGGGCTGCTGTAAACCCCCAAGAGCCTCTCAGGGCTGCTGTAAACCCCCAGGAGCCTTTCAGGGCTGCTGTAAACCCCGACGAGCCTCTCGC